CTGCTGCCGCGGCGCTAACCCTGGCTGTGTCCGCGGCGGGCGCCGCTGGCGCGAGACGTGCGTTAGGCGGCACCTGGCAGCGACACCGGAGGTTGCTGCGGCGGCGGCGGCGCAGACGAGCTGCCGTTGCTGGTGACCGAGGCGCTGCGGGCCGAGCGGGCCATGCCCGGTTGGCCGCTGCTTGGCCCTCCGAGCAGCACGCCCATCTCCTTGGCCTCCTTGTCGATGTTGACGAGGGACTGGAGGCAGACGTTGAAGTTGGGGTTCTGCTCGGTGCCGGTGATGACCTTTTGGATGAGCATGCGGAGGCCCTGCTGCTGGGCGATGAGCTGGTTGCGCAGCTGCTCGAGGTAGTGGCGGGTCATGCCGGGGGCCGGGTTCTTTGGCAGGCCCTCGTTTTCGGCCTTGAGCATCTGGGCGGCGACCATCGAGAGGTTGCGAAACATGACCTCCTGCTGCTGCTTGAGGAATATGATCTTGGTCGATACGGTGGGGTGGAGCTTGGGCATCTTTTGCTGGAGCGCAGCAGCCTGGGCCGAGAGGCTGGCCGCGTTGATGCCGGCGGGAAACTGAAAGGCGGGCTGGCCAGGCTCGACCTTGGATATGGAGCCAGACTTGGAGCGCTTGACGGCGGCCGGGCCGTCGGGGTTGTTGGCCGCAGAGGAAGACGACGCTGCTGCCGCTGTCGGGTCGTCGTCGTCGTCTCTGGAGCGCTTCTTGGAAGTCGAGTTGGGCGGCGCGGCCATGCCGGACACGAGCAAAGTGGCCTGCTCCTGGAAGCGGGGTTTGGCCGCGGCGGGTATCAGCTGAGGCACATTGTCAGCGGAGAGGTGGCCGGCCTCGGAGATGATGCGATGGAGCCGATCGATGGCGTCGGCTGCTGCGTCGGAAGAGGCGTGTGCTGGTGATTTGGCGGATGGCGGTGCGTTGCTGTCCACCTTTGTGCCATCGCCTGGCTTTAGGCCGCACGAGCTGACCGAGACGCCCCTGTGCGCGAGCCGAGAGCCGAGCTCTGCTGCGGTGATGCCGTCGTTTGCAGCGTGCTGGTTGAAGACGGGCGATGCGTCGAGGTCGAGAGGCATGATGACGTCCCTCGTCGAGATGTGGACGATGTGCCTGGCCATGGTGGTGGGCCTCTGGGGTGCGATGGCCGCAAAGCCTGGAGGCCCGGCGTGGGAGGCGGCATCGCGGGAGTCGAGGAGCTCCAAAGCGGCGACGAGAGCCTCTAGTGCGGGTGCGACGGGGTGTAGCCTGGACTCCGGCGGGTGTTGGGAGGCATCTAGGGGAAAGGGGAGGAAGGGGTCGTGTGGGTGACGTGTGCTGGGCAGAGGGTCGAGCTGTGCGTCGAGCCAGTCTGGCTGGAGGCGGTCGTCTGCAGCGGGCGAGATGCGGTCGAGCCAGTGGTGGTTCCTGGTGACGGTATCGAGGAACTTTGATCCGGTGATGAAGGGAAGCTTTGCCAGGGATCCCCTCGAACGCAGGAGCGAGTCGAGGTGGGCCGCCGAGGTGGGGCGGTATACGACGGCGGCGATGAGGAGCCTGGAACCCGGATGGAGCGAGGAGAGGGCGGCGGCGATGGAGTTGAGGAGGGGGGCTACGAGGTGGGACCAGGCTGCGCGTGTGCGCGGGTGGTCGAGGATGACGGCGACAACGAGGGCCTCTGGAGGGAGGGCGTGCTGTGCGGCGATGGCGGCCGAGGTTGGTGTGGGCATGGTGGAGAGGCGGGTGGGGCGGGTTGCGCCCAAAGCAGCTGGAGCGAGGTCAGAGGGAGGCGGGCATTGGTGGCGTGGTGTGCTGGGTGTTGCGAGCGTAATGCTGAGCGGTGTACCAGAGCTGGCGGTGTATGCCAAGCCGAGGGTGGTGGTGGTGGCGGGTGGTGGCGGGTGGTGGCCAGCAGAGCGAGCAAGATGCAAAGCCAAGCTTGGGCAGAGGTCGACGAGAGGCTGCCAGCCAGCCAGCCGCCGCCTCGCCCGAGTGCCGGCAAACGGGCCAGCGGGAAAAGGCAAAGCAAAGCAGAGCAGAGCAGAGCAAAGCGGGCGGCCCGTGCCTGGCCCGTGGAACAGCCTGGCCGGCGTGGTGCGTTTTGTATACGCCTGCAGGCTGGTGGATTCCCCAAAAGGGTCCTGCCGGTGGGGACCCAATAGCAACTCTATTGCGCGGCTGGAGCCGGTCTTGTATTGCAGCCCGCCGTGCCATGCACCCCGCCGGCCCAGGATCGGCAAGCAGAGCGGAGCAGCAGCAGCAGCAGCAGCAGCAGCAGCAGCAGCAGCAGCAGCAGCAGCAGCAGCTTAGCCAGCCAGCCAGCCGCCTATGGTATGGAAGGCCGCCTTCCGAGACGGCCTGGCCTGCCTCGGACTGGCGCCGATCCTTTGGCCGGCCCTGCCCTGCCCGCTCCCTATCTCCCTATCTTTCTCTCCATCACCACCACCATCGCCGCCGCCAACACCACCATCACCACGTCGTCGCCATCTGCTGCGCCCTCGCCCTGCCTGCCTGGCCTGCCGCACCGACCTCGGCGAGCACGCGTCGCATGCTCAGCCTCCAGCCGTCGTTTCGTCTTCTCGACCTCCACTTGGCCCCCATTACGGCCACGACGACCAAGGCGACGACTGCCACGACGATCCCCACCACCACCATCATCACCACCCAACAGCTCTCGTCTACATCCTTGCTCGACCCGCAACCCCATCCGCCCATGCCAACAGTCACCCTGCTTCGCCTCTGACGGCGTACCAGACGCTCCTGGCCCACCCACGCAAACCGCCATCCACGCCCCCGCCCTGGCCCCCCCGCTCGGTCTCGACCTGCCAAAAAGGCGGCTGCTGCTGCTGCTGCTGCTGCTGCTGCTGCTGCTGCTGCTGCCACTCTGCCACCGCTGCTGCTCTAGGCAACCCACAATCCAACCCCAACACCCTCCTCCTCCAGCATCATGCCAACCGCAAAAAGAGTCTCGTACGTGCTGCCCAACCAGCAGCCCCCGCGCTACTTTGGCCTGCCGCCCCTCGGCGCAGATAGAGGCTTCTCCACCGGCCCACTCCTCGTCCCATCCCAGAGATCGTCCCATCCGCCCCCGCCCACATCGCACCCGGCCGCCCTCCATCCCCAGCACACCCTCGCCGTATCCTCGCTCGCCATCGACACCACCACGTGCATCCATTCATCCGGCTCGGAAGACGATGAGCTCGCACCCGAAGGCATCCTCTACACCGGCGGCAGGGACGGCCTCGTGGGCTCATGGGAGCTCGGCCTGCCAATGCGAAAGGCCTCCACACACGGGTTTGCGCACGACACCCCACGCAACTCCAGCAGCGACGACCACGGCGACGACTCCGACGTCCAGGCGACAGAGGCGCTGCTCGCCAGCAGCCGCACCGACACCGACGCCGCCGCCCAGTGGCACGTAGACCCGCTGCGGGCCAACGAGGCGTGCCCCACCCAGTTCCGCCAGTGCGTCCAGTCGCACACCGACTGGATCAACGACGTCCTCCTCTGCAACCGCAACCAGACCCTCGTCTCGGCCTCGTCGGACCGCACCGTCAAGATCTGGAACCCGCACGACCCGCACACGAGCCTCAGCCCGCACGTCCTCGGCACCCACAAGGACTACGTCAAGGCCCTCGCCCACGCCAGCGAGTCCGACTACGTCGTCAGCGGCGGCTTCGACCGCGCCATCAGGCTGTGGGACATTCGCGAGACCAGGACCGCCCCCATCTTTGAGTTCGCCGACAGGACGTCGATCTACGCACTCGGCGTAAACCCCAACGGCAGCGTCATTGCCAGTGGGTCGCCCGAGCAGCACGTCAAGGTGTGGGACCCTCGCAGCGGGCAGAAGTGTGCCGAGCTCGTCGGCCACACCGACAGCATCCGCAGCGTCCTCGTGAGCCAGGACGGCCGCCACCTCCTCTCGGGCTCGTCGGACAGCACCGTCAGGCTCTGGTCCCTTGGCGAGCAGCGCTGCCTGCACACCTTCACCCACCACTCGGACAGCGTCTGGTCGCTCTTCTCCGCCCACCCGGACCTCGACGTCTTCTACTCGGGCGATCGCCAGGGCTACGTGTGCAAGGTCGACTGGGAGCGCTGCGCAGAGGTCTCCGAGGGCGAGTGTGTCGTCCTCTGTCGCGAGCGCGATTCGGACCTCTCGGCTTCGACCTCTTCCCTCGACGGCGACGGCGACGGCGACGACAGCGGCGGCGAGGCGGCCTACGCCTACCACCGCAGGGACGCCAAGGTCGGCATCCAGAAGATTGTGGCGCTCGACGACACCTACTTTTGGACGGCTACTGGCAGCTCCGACGTCCACCGGTGGCGCGACGTGCCGCGCCGCACAGAGCGCGAGGCGCTCTACCCAATCGGCGGGCTCCGCTCCTCGCGCTCCTTTGAGCACTTTGGCCGACGATCGACCAGCAGCTTCCACCCCTTTCGCAGCTCGTTGGCCGGCGGCCAGGAGCTGGCCCACGCCGAGCTCGTGGCGCCCGACCTCTCTCGGCAGACGTCGGTCAGCTTCATGGAGCCCCACACGCCTCCGCCTGGTCAGCCGAGGGCTGGGCGTTTTGCGGCCAGGAACGACTCGGTAGCCTCGCTCAACGGGCCCGCCATCGCCCTGTCGGCCGCCATGGACCTGCCTCCCGGCGGCGGCTCGGATCTGGCGGCCACAATGCATGGAATCCCCTTCGACAGCCTCGTCAGCCTGGCTCCCATCAGCGACCCGTACGGTGATCAGATTGGGCTGGGCAGCATCAGCATGCGCGACCCGCGCAGCTACGACGACGACCGCGCCAGCTCCGTGATCGGCCTCCGTTCGGCAATGAGCCACCTCTCCATCGACCAGGCCCGTCCCGGTCTCTCTCCGCCCACGACACCTTCGGCGGCCGCAATGGCAACGGCGGCCCACGCCCAGATTGCCAACGTCCAGGCCATGGACGGGCGGCAGCGGCCCGCAAGCACGCGTTCCGCCAGCCTGCGATTTGCGCCGATGCAGCAGACCATCAACGGTGCTGCGCACTCGTACCGGACGGGGTCCGACGCCGGCAGCGATGGCCTTGCGGGCGACGACGACGAAGGAGAAGCCGATGTCGACGGCGACGACGACGACGACGACGACGAGCCGGCCTATCAGGCGCGCCTATCGTTCGAGGACCGCGAGCTGGCCGAGGAGGCGCAGCCGCTGCGGACCAAGGCGGACGACATCATCCGAGGCTCCCACGGTCTGATCCGCTCGTCGATGCTCAACGACCGGCGCCACGTGCTGGCCATCAGCAGCACGGGCGCCGTCACTCTGTGGGACGTGGTCAAGGGCGTCTGCCTCGGCGAATTCGACCCGTCCGACGTGCGCGAGGCCGCCATGCAGTCGTCGCAGATCCCAGCGTCGCTGCTGCGGCGGTGGAGGCCGCAGCTGACGCCCGGCGACACGCTCGAGGCTGTCAAGGAGCGCATCGAGGGGCAAGGCGTGACGCCGCTGTGGTGCTCGGTCGACACCAAGAGCGGCGCGCTGACCGTCCACCTCGAGGAGCCGCGCTGCTTCGAGGCCGAGTTCTACATCGACGAGTTCGCCGACTGCGTCGACCTCGACGATTTCAAGGAAGACCAGCGCGGCCAGGTGGCCAAGTGGATCCTGCGCAACCTCTTTGCCGGCTTCGTGTGGGCAGAGGAGCAGCGGCGCGGGCGGCAGCAGGTGCATGGCGGCGGCGCGGTCTCGACTCCTGGGCTGGACCGGATACTGCAGGCGAGCAGGCGCGGACCAGCGACGCCGGGCATGACCATTGCGCTAGCCACGCCCGCCAAAACGCCGGCGTTCACTCCGGGGGGCACAGGACCGCTATCGTCGGCAGCCGCCCAGCGCACCCCACACGCCCTGCCGCCTTCGCACTCGGGCGGAGCGGCCAAGGCCGTCAATGGGGTCAGCCCGGGCCCGGCTGGCGACTACTTTTCGATCAAGAGCGCCGCGGCGAGGCAGCCCGACTCGAGCGCAAAGGCAGCGGCAACGGTGGCGACGCCGTCCGAAGGCGGTTCCTCGTTTGCCGACGCCGGGCCGCAGACGCCGGGCGGCAGCGGCCTGATGAGCAAGCTGCGATTTGGCAAGAACCGGGCCGAAAAGGTTGGCACGCCAACCGAGGCTACGAGCGACGCTGCGGCGACACCGGCTGCCAACGAGGAGCTGAGCGCCGAGATGAAGGTGAGTTTCGCGGCGGCGGCGGCGGCGGCGGCGGTGAGCAGGCAGACGACTGGCCCGAGCTCCGCTCCTTGCGATCAGCTGCCCAACATGACCAACCTGGCGCTGACCTCTTCCTCTTGCCGTCCGTGCCCGGTCTCTGCTTGCTACTCGACGGCCCGACAGGAGCAGCAGACGCACGCCGTCCTGCTGCAGCAGCTGCTGGCGAGGCCGATTGCGCCGCTGTCGATGCGCGAGGTGCCGGAGCTGCCGTTTTCGCCCGAGACGGCGCTGATTATCTCTGAGTCGTCGGCGGATGCGGGGTCGTGGGAGGTCGTGTACCGCGGGCTGGTGAGCAGCGCGGCCGACGACGTTGATGTGCTCGAGGAGCGGTCGCCGCTGTGGCTGCTGGAGCTGCTGCTGGGCAACCGGGTGCTGGCGCGGGATCCGGTCAAGCTGAGCTTTACGCTGCAGCCGTGGATCTCGTCTGGGGCCAAGCGGGATGGGTTTGGCGGGTTTGGCGACGGGTCGCTGCCGATGCCCGACATGCCGAGCGGCAACGCGCGGCTGACGGCGACGCGGTGCCTGCGGATCAAGAAGACGTGCGCCTACGTGTGCGAGAAGCTGGACCTGGCGTCGCCCCAGTCGCGCGCCAACAGCATCGCCGCCAGCCGCCGGTCGTCTGCGGATGCCGGGTTGAAAAAGGGCCCGGGCGGGGGGCTGGCGTCGCCCTCGAGCCACCTCAGCATGACTTCGCTGGCTGCGCAACAGCAGGCGCAGCAGCAGCAGCAGCAGGCGGGGGAGGCAGCGCCGGCAGCGGCGGCGGGGAAGCAGCAGGGACGACGGCGGCGGCAGCGGACCCGGACAGCGACGTTGAAGACGTGGGAGCGCTGCCGCCGCACGAGGTCGTCGAGATCGTGTGCAACGACTCGGTGCTGCCGGACGACATGACGCTGGCGCAGTGCCAGCGCTTCTACTGGAAGGCGTCGGGCGACATCAAGCTCGAGTACCGCATGAAGCGGCGGTGGCTCGGCCACCATCATGGTCTCTGAGATTGGAGCGTCGGTCGGTTCCGAGGTGGACACGACCCGGTACCCTAGCCTCTTGCAGCCGCTTTTTGGGCTGTGGGCAACCTGAATGGAAAACCCGTCACCGGCCCGGCCCTCGTCTGCCTGGCCTGCCATGCCTGCCTGCAACGGAGGCAACCCGTTCCGCGGAGCCGGGATCGACCCGGCCGACTAGATAGCGGTGAGGATCCGCCACTTTTTGCAAGGCATGGCGAAGAAGGACGAGCGGGGCGACAGGACCGTGAAGATGGCCGCTGGACCCTTGCCTGCCTTGGTTTGGCTTGGCTCACAGTAGTAGCGCTTGGGCTTTGCTTGCGAGATGCAGGGCAGGTCAGGTCAGGTCAGGGCAGGGCAGCCGCCCGCATCTCGAAGCCCCAGGGTCCAGTCGGTCGGTCGATCTGCGAGGCGAGGCCAGATGCGACGTCACTCGACATGCCCGCGCCCGACCTAGCCGCTTTCGGACGCATCGGAGAGAAAAAAAGGGCAGCCAGGCAGCATCGACAAACGAGCAGCGAAAATGCGGAAAGATCGTCGTATCGGCAGCACCTGCCTGGCTTGGTTACCTGTACCAGTAAGCGGGTGAGACCAGACCTTGATTGATGTCCTTGCCCGCCTCGCCGTCACCGTATCGCAGCGCACCCATGGGGGCGTCTTGACCTGGTCAAAAGGCGTATTTCGTGCGCCGCAAGAAGGCCCCCGGCCGTGCTCAACGACGTCAAGGCCTCTCTTTGACCCTGCGACGGGAGAGACGGCACGGTTCCGATCGATGGTCGGCAGTGGACCGGATCAGAAAAGGGGGCGGGGACTGGCGGAGGCTGGCCCAGGTCGTGCTTCGATGAGACAGAAAGCGAGAGAGGGAATGCACCAGGCAGCGTCGTACTGTATCTCGAGCGGGCAGTGGCCAGAGGGCAGGCCGGCGAATCAGAAGCACCAAACGACGAGGTGGACAAGTGACGTTGTTGATCGCTGCTGCGCTGCTGCTTGCCTCTCTCCCTCTCGGCGTCTTAGCGTTGTCCTTGCCTCGCTTGGATCGCGATCTCACCGTCCCTCGTCTAGCCCCATCGACATGGCTCCCTCCACCCGTACTCTACTTACGTCGCTTTCGACGCTCGACGCGGAAGGTGAGGCCCCTCTCTGTGCTTCCGATCCGTTCGAGCCGCCGCAGAGAAAGAGACGCGAGTGCTGGGATTTTTCTTGCGTAAACACGGATGGCCATGGGCCACGCCTCGCCACGCCACGGCCCACGCCATGGCGTGAGATGGACCTCCCCAGGATCTCGGCTGGCCCGCTCGCCCCATCTCGACAGTCGAGGCTGTGCGGAGCGCAGTGCACCGAGCGTCACGTACTCGTGCCCTGCCCCCCATATCACGATGCCAAGAAAAACGATTGCCAGCGCTGCGCTGCCTCGAGGGGCCCAAGTTGCGAGTGGCGTATGCGATGGTCGTGCCCGGTAGTGTGCAGAGGGACATGTGTTCGGCCTTCCCCCCCCCCCCCCTCCCCGCACGTACGCCGCCTGCGTGGCCATCGAGCCACACCCATCCAGGGTCCATCCGTCGGTCGGTCGCCCCTCGCCCTTCGTCCGGCTCGATACGGTGCAGCAGCAGTGCGAAAAGGGACAATGGCCGACGGCTACGTAGCCATCCAGCCAGCCAGCCAGCCAGCCAAGACCGGCTTTGCCTTGCCTTACTCTCCGCCTGAGCCGCCGCCGCCGCCGCCGCCGTCGCCGCCTCCGCCTCCGCTGCCGTGGCTTCGGGGCTATTCCGACGATGCCGTCAGAGAGAAGGCTCCGTCCGCCGCTTGCTTGTCTATGTGCCCCGGCCTCGCTCCCCGTCCTGTCTCGCATCGGAGCATTTGCGCGCCTCTAAACCCGCAGCCCAAAGAGCCCCTTCGATGCCTACCGTTGCCTCGCTCGGCCTCGACATCGCCGTCGAAACCCCGGACGCCCGCACCACGACAGACGCCGGATCGTCACTGCGCGCCCGAGTAGAGCTTTACAAAAGCATGCCGGCCCCTCCGCTCCTACCTGCCCGTCCCGTCTCGTGGTCCCGTTTCCCTCCGCCCTTTCCAACAACCACCATCACGCCAGCCGCTTCCTCCCAGTCTCGACCTAGACTTGAACGACTCGTAGAGGATCAAACGACGGCCGTCTCCCATCGACTTGCTTTGTCGACTACCAGCGCCTTTTCTTTCCCTGCCCGCCGCCGCCTCGACCCAGACGCGTCTCACGCCGCCACACGACCGACATCGACCCGACCCTAACCGACCCTCTTCCTGGTTCCAGCCCACTCGAAAGGCACATCCACCACCCCTTGGGCCCCGCCGACGATGGTCGACGAAAAGAAGGGCGGCCGGATCTCTCCGGCAGCCGAGAGCGGTACCTCGACCGTCCATGACGCCCAGAGCCGCAGCAGCGACACCGACGCCGCGTCGGGCCACGTCAGGCGCACCAGCACCGACAACGAAAAGCAGCCGCCGCCGCAGCAGCAGAACGGAGCAGGACGAAGCGGAGCGGGCAACAAGGGCGACGACACGGCCAACCCGTCGGGCAAGCGCGAGATCCGCATGCACGACCCGGCCGTCTACGCCAAGCTGGGCTACTCGTTCCCCACCTGGAAAAAGTGGTGGATCATCACCGTCATCTTTTGGATCCAGCTCTCGATGAACTTCAACACGGGCGTGTACGCCAACGGCGTCAAGCTCTTTGCCGAGCACTTTAGCATCTCGGAGCAGGCCGCCCGAGTCGGTCAGGTGAGTCCGCCAGCGAGCGACGGAGCGAGCGCGCCAGCGGGCGAGTCGTGCCGCGCCGCGTCGCGTCCGGAGACTGGACCCGGCGCCTGCCTCCATCCTTCCCCC